CCCGCCCGCCAGCAGCAAGCCCGCTGCCTTCGAGGTGGACCCCCGTGGATGTCCCTTCACCATTAAACTGAGTGCCAGGAAGTAAGTGCCTCGTTACCAGCTGCAGCCTCCCCCCCGGGGAGAGGGCTCCAGCACCAGCCATCTGCTGGATCTGCTGCCGTGTCTCAGCCGTCCTGCTCTCCTGTGCAGGGCTGCAGGGCTGGGCAGGGTCGCTTGAGGGGACAGTTCTTTCCACTGTGTTTGAGTCTTGGGATCATAGAATCATAGAGCCATTGAATGGTTTGGGTAGGAAAGGACCTTTCAAGGTCATCTAGTAACCCCCTGCAGGGAGCAGGGACATCCCCAGCTAGAGCAGGGTGCTCAGAGACACCTCCAACCTCCCCTGGGATGGTTCCAGGGATGGGGCAGTGACCACCTCTCTGGGCAGCCTGGGCCAGGGGATCACCACCCTCAGTGTCAAAAACATCTTCCTTGTCTCTAGTCTAAATCTCCTTCTTTTAGTTGAAAACTATCACCCCTTGTGCTGTTGCATCAAGCCCTGCTAAAAAGATTATCCCAAACTTTCTGACAGGACCCTTGAAGCATTGGAAGGTCACAAGGTCTCCCCAAGGCCTTCTCTTCTCCATTCTGAGGAACTCCAACTCTCTCCTGCTGGGCTCCCAGCAGAGGGGTTCCCCCCTCGGGGCATTGCTGGGGCTCCTCTGGCCCCACTCCAGCAGGTCCCTGGCTCTGCTGTGCTGAGGACTCCAGAGCTGGACACAGGCTCAGGGAGATGATGTTTTCTGCTCCCAGCTTACCTCAGGGACTCATGAGCATGGGGGATACGCTGTGAAATCAGCCACCTCACCTCTGGGGTGGCACACTTGGGCTGTGGTCAAACAGAGACTTTGGGATTCTTTTTTTGTAAGAGGAGTTGTCCTGGTTACATCCCAGGAATCCTAAATCTCTCTCCCTCCCCATCCCCAATGCATTCACCACCTTCCCTACCCCCTGCCCATTGCCTCCTGTTGGTAGCTGCCTGAAGGCTCAGCTGACCAGCTGCAGGAGATGTTCCCTGCCTAAATGTGGCCTGTTACTACTCTCAACTTTCTGGCCAAAGGAGGATTTAAAGCTGTAGCTGCAGTCTGAGAGCAGGAGGTGTTCAATCACCAGACAGTCTCACAGGGCTGCTTTGCTCCTTTCCTGATGTTGTTGCTGTCTGTGTTCCTTCCATTAATTTTTGCTAATTGCTGATTTTCCCTCCTTTTCTTCTCTCCCTGGGCAGAGACCATGAGAGCAGCTGTGATTACAGGCCAGTTCGCTGCCCCAACAACCCCAGCTGCCCACCTCTCCTGAAGATGAACCTGGAGGCACATCTGAAGGAGTGTGAGCACATAAAGTGTCCCCACTCCAAATATGGGTAAGGAGCTGGTGCTTTTTGGTGGGAGGGGTGCACTGAGCTCGTTTCTGAGCCACTTTGGGGTGGTCCCCTGGGCTCTGAGCAGCTCTGCCCAGTGCTGGGCTCTGGCCTGAGGGTGAGGTCAGGTTTTCAGGGCTTGCAGAAGGCAGCCCCCAAGCCTCTTGTTTGGCAAGGGCTGGTGACTGCCTGGCTGTGAGCCCTGCTGGCAGCCAAGGAGGAAGGTGAGGAGGTGCATGGGCAGAAGAACCAGCTGGAGGAGAGTCAGGGCAGTGATTGTCAGAGCCACACAGGGAGGAGGATGAGCAGGAGTAACGTTAGTGCCACGGCAGTGCCTTCAGACCAGTCCTTCTCCCAGCATGAGGGCAGTGCTGGTCAGGCTCAGGGGGTTGGGTGTGACCCTCAGGAGTGGGTTTTGGGCTGGGGGTTCCCTGCAGGACGCACAGCTGAGGTTCTGGTGCAGGAGGAGATGTTTTGGCAGAAGCAGAGGCAGGCAAGTCCTGCCAGAGCAGCCCTGACTCCCTGCTGCACACTGCGCCTGTGGCTCCTTCCCTTGGTTTTGTGTGGGACCTGCTTGGCCTCTCTGTTGCTCTGCAGCCAGCAGGATGGTGAACCACTGCTCCTGGTAGGAGGAGCAGGTCATCTGGGGACCCTCACAGGCCTCAGACCTCCCTCTGAGGAGCCAGCTGAGCAAGGAGGTCTCCAGCACAGCCCTGCTCCAGCCGGCGCCTGCCTTCCCTTGTAGGTGCACATTCATAGGGAACCAAGACACTTATGAGACCCACTTGGAGACCTGCAAGTTCGAGGGTCTGAAGGAGTTCCTGCAGCAGACAGATGATCGTTTCCATGAGATGCAGGTGGCAATGGCCCAGAAGGACCAGGAGATTGCCTTCCTGCGCTCCATGTTGGGGAAGCTCTCCGAGAAAATCGACCAGCTGGAGAAGAACTTGGAGCTTAAGTTTGGTGAGTCTGCACTGGATGAGTGCTGTGGTCAGAGCTGCAGGTGCAGGGCAGCTCTTTGTTGGGGTGGTGCACTACAGGATTCATTCCAATGAACAATGGCTTAAACAATGGTTTAACAATGGTGCTGAGCAGGTTTCAGAAGGTTCAGATATTCTTTGCAGAGGAACAGATACAGGTTACATCAACTTCTCTGCTGGCAGAACATCATGGGGACTAATCATGGAATCATTTTGGTTGGAAAAGACCTTTAATTCTGCAGTTACTGGTCACATGGGAAGTCCTAGAAATGACTCTGGGCAGCTACCACCTTTCTTCTGTGACTTTTCCCATGCAGTCCATGGGTGCAGGCCCCCATAAAAATCAATGAGTTGAATAGCCACCAATGCAGCCATCAACTCCATCCTGGAGTGAGCATGGTTCTTGGACACCTTTGCTGTGCCCAGCCCTGTCCTGCCTCTGAAATGTGGTGGGTCTTCAGCATCCAAGTGCAATTTGCATTTGAGTAGTAGACATGATCCTGCTTTTCCCTGCAGATAGCAGTGGTGGGTTCTCCTCCCTCCTTGCCCAGAGGTTAGGTGGTAGTGGGTGTCCCCTGCCTGTTCCCCTGGATGCTGTCACTGACTCTGCAGTGACTGTGGGCCTGCCCTTCTCTCCTAGATGTGCTGGATGAGAACCAGAGCAAGCTGAGCGAGGACCTGATGGAGTTCCGCAGGGATGCCTCCATGCTGAACGTGAGGAGGGGCTGGGCCCTGGGGCAGAGCAGGGGCTGCCTGTGGTTAGCTGCTTCTGCTGCTGGTTAGGTGCCTGCTGAGGTGGGAAAGTCTTTGTGGCTCCCTCCTGCTTGCTGGCTCTGCTCAGCCCAGTTTGGTTTGCTTTTACTGGGTGAAGGTTTCCCCTCGGCTGAGTTAAAGGCAGCTCAGCGAGCACGTCCTGGTCACTGCATCTGGGCCACTCTTTGAGCTGGTTCTGCTGCCTTTGCTCAGCCTGCTGCTGCTCTGGGCATGTGTTAGCAGAGGAAGAGATCCCTGCAGCAAGGAGAGAGCCCTCTGCTCTGCACCTGGGCCTCTGCTCCAGAGCCTGGGCACTCCTGTACCTTTTCCACTAGCCAGGGACAGGGTGCCCTTCTCCCTGCATGCAGAGAAAGCAGTAGGATGAGCAGATCCCTGCTGACGAGCTGGGACTGGGACCTGCCTCATGGTTTTGGTCGTTATTCACACACTGATGATGGACAGAGGTTCCTCCCTGGTTCAGGCAGACTGTGTCCTGCTGGGTGCACTGGGTGGGAGGAGCTCGCCCAGGTTTCCCTGAGCATAGTAATGGGAGAGGGTCCCCATGGACACAGTAGGGACCAGACCACTGCAGAGACCTTCCCCTTCTCCTCCAGCAAGGTGGGCTTCCAGAGCCCAGCTGGGCAAGCCAGCCCCATAACCAGTCTGGTTACTCTTAGCAGTCTGGTGAGTGGCAGAGCAAGGGCAGTAGGTTTTGAGAGGTGTTCCTGTGCCTGCCTGCATCCTGAAGAGCTTAGTGCAGGTCTGAGATGCTGCTGTGGTCTCTGGGGGGAGGTGACAGAGGGATGTACACATAGAGCCCTAGAGCAGAGGAGGAGTCAGCAGCTGAGGGAGGACCTTGATGGGAAGTCAGGACCTGTCCAAAGGCAAAAGGGCTTTAGCAGTGGAGGGGACAGTCTTAAAGCCATGCCCAGAGGGGCAGGCTGGCCTCGATGGCTCTGCAGCTCACACAGCTTGTTCTCTTTTCCAGGATGAGCTTTCCCACATCAACGCTCGGCTCAACATGGGCATCCTGGGCTGTGAGTATCCCTGTGTCATCTTCTCAGGCTGGGCAAGGGGTGGTGGCCCAGGGAGATGTGCACAGTAACAGTTGTCTCTGGGTGCAGCAGTGGTTTGTTCACAAGAAAACCCTGGTGGGAGAGTTGGGCAGAAGTGCTGGCCGAGGGGGAGCTCACAGTGCTGCCAGGGGGAGGTGATGGGTGGGCTCTGCCTCTCTGGCCTCCCTAGGTCCAGGAGTTGCATTAGGGAGATGGGTCCTGGGGCTCAAAGCAATAAGTCAGTGAGCTGTGAGGGTGGGATGTGAGACCTTCCAGCCAGACTGGGAGGGTCTCATGGTTCCTTCTGGCCTTCAACAACGTGGAGTGCAAGGAGGAGCTGCTGGGCCAGCACAGGGACTCTGTCCCTTCTGGACTCCTTGTGACATGGCCCAGCACCACTCTCCCACCTCTCACCTGCCCTCTTGTTTCTGTAGCCTATGATCCTCAGCAGATCTTCAAGTGCAAGGGGACCTTTGTGGGACACCAGGGCCCTGTGTGGTGCCTGTGCGTTTACTCCATCGGAGACTTGCTCTTCAGTGGCTCTTCAGACAAAACCATTAAGGTGAGAGTTGGCCTCATTTGTGCATCTCCTGCCCTTGTAAATGTGCTTCAGGTGGGACAGAAGCTGAGCTGCAGTTTGTGGGGTGCAGAGTTTCTCTCAGAGAATATTAAAAGATTCTCTGGAATTTTAGTTGGGCAGAATTCTCCATGAGGAAACATGTGATAGTGAAATGGAGAGACAAATAGTGGGGTTTGCAGGGCCCTGGCTGGAATTCCTGCT